CATACGAATCTTGCTAAAAAGTTGTTCGATCAGGGTTACAACATACAAAGCCTCAGTAAAATGTCAAAAGGTTTTATGATAGACATGTGAAGGACATTTTCAACTTTGACGCATCATTGACCATAATAATGCCCGGTACAATTCCCTATTTTAGCTTGTAGCAAATGTTCCCGCATTAATTTAGGTGAACACTTGACTTGTCCTTGCATGTGTTTGTGACTGGTGCCATCGGTGGGGCAGGATATGCTCGCCTCTTTGCTAAAGAGGCGAGTTCATTGCTCATTGCATTGTGTTTAGGCAATGATTAGTTGTCAGGAATGTAGTACTATTTAATGTAAGCAGTGGCGAGGAAGACACTATATTAAGATGCTTGTGTGATGTGTAAAAACCTCCGCAATACCGTGGACTGAGCGTTATAGAACATGTGAAATATTCTGTGATGTGTTGGCACTGTGTGGAAATGTCCAGAAGCTAGTTAGACTGTATAGAAGGGGACAAGAACGTGCCTGTCATATCTCTCACATATTTCATTTTATTACCCACGTGGTGAAGATACAGGTGGTAAGATACTAAATCAGTACGCCACACGTGTGTCGTACAAGGTTGACCTTGTTTTATTCGTTTTGATTGGAGAACCGTGACCTCTGTCACACTGGGACTACTTTTTTCATTCATCAAAAATCGCGAGACGTCATTCATTTTGCAACTACAAGGCAGAACTGAAGCAATCTCGTGTGAGCAAGGGATATTAACAAACACTTTATTAAACCACACAACATAGTCACAAGCATCAAATTCGGTTTGCATCCTATATAATTATGCATTGAGCTTCCACAGACATTACATAATGGAGCTATATCCATTTACAATGTTCGACTACCGTTCAATAGATCGAGGGTCCGAATGAGCGTGACGCACCCGACTACTTTCGCAACTTCCAATTTGATTTAACGTAAAAGGATAAGCGTGGTGAAATGAAGTCAGTTTAAACTATCTGGACAGATATCTAGACTTACTTGGGATGATCCGGTTGTGCCATCAGTGTCCTCTACGAAGCGAATTTTTCGGCACTGTTTCGGGAGTCGTTTGTTCATGACTGCACAACCACATCACTCAAAGTGAACATTTCCTATACAAGTCAATCGAAAACTCCGTAGAAGTGTGCCTGATTTCTGATTATGTGGCCCAAAATATCCGAAAGATGAACAATAACATTCCCTATCCCTAGCGTAAAGCGCTGAGTAGATGACGATTGTCTTTTCTTATTCCGGTGGTGACCTTGCCCTTCGTTCGAAGCTGTCACTGACATGCAAGCAGACTTGAGCGTGTTGATTTTACGTCTTCACTAAAGGGTGGTACAGTAAACATAAATGTCTTTGGCGAACACTCTGATTTTCCTCTTCCAAAATGGTACGGACATGTTATAAATTCAGCTGATAGATCAAGGAAACCAAACCATTTTGAATGCACAGACTGGACCCCGGCAGTGCGAGTGACCAACTGTTGGTCCGATATTCAAAGCTCGGCGCTTATGTGACTTTTTAAATGTACTTATAGATGTCCTGCGTACTAACAACATGGCGCTTGAATTCTCATAAGTTGAAGAAATTCGTCCAAAAGGATCTTCAACGTCGGTGCTGTTATGTTTGAAAACACAACTGCAGGCGCATGTTGTTAATACGTATACATAGGTCTGTCACCAATGTCCATATTTGGGCATATATCAATATTCATGCGCAACCAGATTTTGCAACCGGTTTCAGTTTGGTCTGTCAACGAACAAAAGTTGTTTGTTATGGGTAATAAATAAAATACCACACTCATTCTCGTGAGATACCATTTTTAGGAAACTCGTGAACTTTCTATGGTATCTGACCTCGCTTCGCTCGGTCAGATACCATAGAAAGTCCACTCGTTTCGTAATAATGAAATCTAACGGGAATGAGTGCAGTATTCTCTATATATCAAGACCAGCTTACTTGTGAAGATCACTCATCACCTCTGATTCCCAGCCTAGGCCCATCTTTGAAGCTTCACCACTGTCGCCGCTGGGTGAATATACTGTCATCACTGACTTTTGCTGTCACCACTATATCATTTTATCACTGCCATCGTATTATATACTGCCATTGAATGCCGAAGACCCGGGTTCGATTCCCGACATGGATACAATGTGTGAAGCCCATTTCTGGTGTCCCCCGCCGTGATATTGCTGGAATATTGGTAAAAGCGGCGTAAAACCATACTCACTCACTCACTCTGATGGGCGTTGGAAGTTTTTTTGGCTCCATCAGTCAACATTCAAGTATTTCGAGACTCAGGCTGTAAGTAAAAAAAAACCGCTGACAAAACGTTCGCTTGCGTTAAAATGCTTTCGCTTGAATTTCGAGTGGCATACGAATCTTGCTAAAAAGTTGTTCGATCAGGGTTACAACATACAAAGCCTCAGTAAAATGTCAAAAGGTTTTATGATAGACATGTGAAGGACATTTTCAACTTTGACGCATCATTGACCATAATAATGCCCGGTACAATTCCCTATTTTAGCTTGTAGCAAATGTTCCCGCATTAATTTAGGTGAACACTTGACTTGTCCTTGCATGTGTTTGTGACTGGTGCCATCGGTGGGGCAGGATATGCTCGCCTCTTTGCTAAAGAGGCGAGTTCATTGCTCATTGCATTGTGTTTAGGCAATGATTAGTTGTCAGGAATGTAGTACTATTTAATGTAAGCAGTGGCGAGGAAGACACTATATTAAGATGCTTGTGTGATGTGTAAAAACCTCCGCAATACCGTGGACTGAGCGTTATAGAACATGTGAAATATTCTGTGATGTGTTGGCACTGTGTGGAAATGTCCAGAAGCTAGTTAGACTGTATAGAAGGGGACAAGAACGTGCCTGTCATATCTCTCACATATTTCATTTTATTACCCACGTGGTGAAGATACAGGTGGTAAGATACTAAATCAGTACGCCACACGTGTGTCGTACAAGGTTGACCTTGTTTTATTCGTTTTGATTGGAGAACCGTGACCTCTGTCACACTGGGACTACTTTTTTCATTCATCAAAAATCGCGAGACGTCATTCATTTTGCAACTACAAGGCAGAACTGAAGCAATCTCGTGTGAGCAAGGGATATTAACAAACACTTTATTAAACCACACAACATAGTCACAAGCATCAAATTCGGTTTGCATCCTATATAATTATGCATTGAGCTTCCACAGACATTACATAATGGAGCTATATCCATTTACAATGTTCGACTACCGTTCAATAGATCGAGGGTCCGAATGAGCGTGACGCACCCGACTACTTTCGCAACTTCCAATTTGATTTAACGTAAAAGGATAAGCGTGGTGAAATGAAGTCAGTTTAAACTATCTGGACAGATATCTAGACTTACTTGGGATGATCCGGTTGTGCCATCAGTGTCCTCTACGAAGCGAATTTTTCGGCACTGTTTCGGGAGTCGTTTGTTCATGACTGCACAACCACATCACTCAAAGTGAACATTTCCTATACAAGTCAATCGAAAACTCCGTAGAAGTGTGCCTGATTTCTGATTATGTGGCCCAAAATATCCGAAAGATGAACAATAACATTCCCTATCCCTAGCGTAAAGCGCTGAGTAGATGACGATTGTCTTTTCTTATTCCGGTGGTGACCTTGCCCTTCGTTCGAAGCTGTCACTGACATGCAAGCAGACTTGAGCGTGTTGATTTTACGTCTTCACTAAAGGGTGGTACAGTAAACATAAATGTCTTTGGCGAACACTCTGATTTTCCTCTTCCAAAATGGTACGGACATGATATAAATTCAGCTGATAGATCAAGGAAACCAAACCATTTTGAATGCACAGACTGGACCCCGGCAGTGCGAGTGACCAACTGTTGGTCCGATATTCAAAGCTCGGCGCTTATGTGACTTTTTAAATGTACTTATAGATGTCCTGCGTACTAACAACATGGCGCTTGAATTCTCATAAGTTGAAGAAATTCGTCCAAAAGGATCTTCAACGTCGGTGCTGTTATGTTTGAAAACACAACTGCAGGCGCATGTTGTTAATACGTATACATAGGTCTGTCACCAATGTCCATATTTGGGCATATATCAATATTCATGCGCAACCAGATTTTGCAACCGGTTTCAGTTTGGTCTGTCAACGAACAAAAGTTGTTTGTTATGGGTAATAAATAAAATACCACACTCATTCTCGTGAGATACCATTTTTAGGAAACTCGTGAACTTTCTATGGTATCTGACCTCGCTTCGCTCGGTCAGATACCATAGAAAGTCCACTCGTTTCGTAATAATGAAATCTAACGGGAATGAGTGCAGTATTCTCTATATATCAAGACCAGCTTACTTGTGAAGATCACTCATCACCTCTGATTCCCAGCCTAGGCCCATCTTTGAAGCTTCACCACTGTCGCCGCTGGGTGAATATACTGTCATTACTGACTTTTGCTGTCACCACTATATCATTTTATCACTGCCATCGTATTATATACTGCCATTGAATGATGTAATTGTTGTGCTGTGCAATTTGTTTGTTTGTTGTTTAACGCAGCACACAGCAATATGACGGCTGTCTATAAATATTCGAGTCTGGACCAGACAATCCAGTGACTGATATCATGAGCATTGGTCTACGCAACTGGGACACGATGACGTGCATCAACCAAGTCAGCGAGCCTGACCACCCGATCCCGTTAGTCGCCTCTTACGACATGCATAGTCTCTCAAGCAAGCATGCGTTGCTGAAGACCTATACTTCCCAGGATATTAACGGGTCCTGTCCAGTAATTTGTATTGATTTGTTAGCCTAGTTAATTTTGTAGTACAGTTGTTAACTGTATATCATTTCTTGGTTGTTGGTTTCACACTAAGTTCTTTTACATACAGAGTTCAGGGTTAATATTATGTTTCAATCTGGGAATCGAAAGTAACAATATTGACATCAAGGGCCTTTACGATGCAGTGGTTGTTGTAATCACTGGTTCTCGACTCCCTTGTCTGGTGTTATGCCGACAATGTTTCAGTTGAATGAACAAGGCATAGCAGAGTAACTTCTTTATTCATATACATCCCCACAGACAACTAAGGACGTGTGCTCTTGGGCTTGTGTTGAATCCGTTAATCATCATCGCTGTTGCTAGAACATGATTAATCCCATGTAAGTACCAGATAGATATATATATATATATATATATATATATATATATATATATATATATATATATATATATATATATATATATATATATATGTGTGTGTGTGTGTGTGTGTGTGTGTGTGAGTGCGTGCGTGTCTGTGTTTTGAGGCAGAAGAGACTGGCTTAAAACAAATTTGTAATTGTCAGCTGCAGCAAACGATTGAAGAGCTGGTACAAAAGGTCATGTGATGTTCGCGGTTCCGAGTTCAATTTTGACTTTCCAGAGCCTGGTTGTTTACAAACATGACAGCCTTGATCGTTTGAGAAGTTGTGGAAGAGAATCTGGAAGGCTGAATGTATATCAGAGCGATTCGATGCCTCTTCCTAAATGATTCTTATCTACTTGCAAAGTGCGGATTGGATACCTGACTGCCAGCTTCCATTATTGATTCAAAAACAGTGACAAAGCTCTGGACATCCGTGAGTGCACTAGCAACACGTAGGGCTTGTCAATGCTTGTCATCACAGCCAAAGTTAAAAAGACACTGGGTGGTAAGAATGCCTTGGATAACGTCTTATCTGCATTTTGTAGTTGTATCCTAGTAACTGGAATATTGCTAAGTTTGGCGTGATAACGTGTACTCACCTATACCATATAATATCCAAGCTGCAATACTTCCCTCAATTTATTTTCTACGTCTGTTATCCGACTGAAAGAAATATATAAAGAAGTCACGACATGTTACAATCTTACTTCTTTTCTATGAAACTACCTAGAAATGCATCATTAATATATAATGAACCGTAAATGAAACGTCACCATGGATAGATATATGAGAAACTTTAGTTGTCCAAACACTGTAAACATACTTGGAGACATATTAAAAAGATGAAACTTGGCACAACTCATCATCAAGGTTAAAATTAAAGTGTCATATGTTCTTAAAGTGAAACACAACACTAGTCTCTGAGAAAATGGCATCACTATTCAGTATCTCGTGTGTCAGCCATGTGCATTGGTGACTGCCATGCAACGTCGATACATGGAATGGGTGAGGCGGTTGATGAAAGCCATAGGCACTTGAGCCCACACTCTGAGGAACGCCTGATGCAGTTCAGCTGCGGTTGTCGGCCTTGGTCGGACGTCATTCAGGCGTCTTTGAATCTCATCCCACAGGTGCTCAATGGGATATAAATCGGGACTGAGGGCAGGTCACTGCATGGTTCTGCAGCCATTCTGCTGGAGGAAGTCTCTTGTTTACTCGTTTGCTAGCTTGTTTAAATATACTCAACAACAAAAGTTCATGTAACTCCAATATTTTAGTGTATTTTTCAAACAAGTAAAGTTTGGTTTTCAATATTGTAGAAAATGTATGGAATCAAGCAACATAAACGCAACTGCTACAGAAAAGCATGCATTCCATGCAAAAGTTGACTTTTATGCAAGACCCATGCATTTCACTACCCAAGAATGGGTTTAAAAACATATGCGTTAACGGGATTCCATATGCATTGTTTAGCATAGTGCTTACAACAACCACTCAGAAAAACAACAAAATTACGCAATTATTCATTATTACGAAATGCCACGTCTGTCCGAAAATGGGCGTCTGCGAGCCATTGGTATGCCTGAAGCAGGATCGAGTCAACGTGATGTTGCAAGACAATTTAACGTCCACAGAAACACCATTTGGTGTTTATGGCAACGTTGTCAACAGACGAATGGAGTCAGAGACACCCGTAACCAATAATCGACAAGACCCTGGATTCGAACAACACACCTACGAAATCGATTCCAACCAGCAACAGTGACTGCAAGAATCACCCCAGGCTTTCTACGGATATCTTCTCAAACCGTACGTCGCCGCCTCAGATGTGCAGGGATTGTCGCCAGAAGACCCGCCAGATGTCCCATTTTGACAGGAAACCACCGTCAAGCACGTCGACAGTGGTGCAGACAGCGTCTACGCTGGACGGCCATGCAGTGGGAACAAGATCTATTCACTGACGTTTTCACCTCCGTCACGGCGATGGACGGATTCGAGTGTACCGACGTCGAGGTGAACGTTACGTCAATCATTGTGTCATGGAAGAAGATCGGTTCGGGGGCGGCAGTGTTATTGTATGGGGTGGGATTACAGCAAGACAGAGGACCCATTTGATAGTGGTAGAGGGAAATCTCAATGGACAACGCTACCCCGACGAGATCTTCGGCCCTGTTGTCCTACCGTTTTTGCGTCGTCATGGCCCAGGCATTACCTTTAAACATGACAACACCCGGGCTCATATTGCTCGACTTGTTCAGGATTTTCTTCAACAAAACACATGAATGTCATCTCCTGGCCGGCTCGGTCCACTGATCTGCGCCTTCGACGCCAACCACGTGTTCCACAGACACTCAAGGAACTTCGAAACATCCTTAAGCAGATATGGACTGATATAACACAGGACTTTGTGCGACGCCTGGTCCATTCCTTGAGACGAAGATGTGTTGCTTGCATCACAACCAGAGGTGGACACACATGCTATTGATTTGTAAATTGACTTTTTGGCATGTTCATGTTTTGTCATGAAATCACGCATTTTCTGGAGTCAGCATGGCAAATTAAACCATTTGAACAGTCTTTTATCTGTTGCAAACCGAAATTATTTCAGATTAGGTAAAAAACATAACTTTGCATTAAATCTTATTCAATGTCACAGGAACTTGACGACACAAAAAGGCTTCACCTTTCAAAAATAAACATAGCCTACTTAACCATATGCTCTACATACACTTAGCCTACTGAACCGTATACTCTACATAAATATAGCCTACTTAACCATATAATCTACATAAATATATCCCATTTTACCACATACTCTACATAAACATAGTATACTTAACCATATACTCTACTAAAATATACTCTACATGCCATAACCTACTTAACCATAAACTCAACAAATTGCTAATCAAAAACATAATCTACTTAACCGTGAAGGTCAGGGTAGAATAGGTCTTCAGCAACCCATGCTTGTCGTAAGAGGCGACCATGCTTGTCGTAAGAGGCGACAAACGGGAGAAGGTGGTCAGGCTCGGTGACTTGGTTGATGCATGTCACCGGATTCCAGTATTGTTCATCGATGCTCATGATGTCAGTCATTGGATTGTCTGGTCCAGACTCGATTGTTTACAAACCGCCGTCATATAGCTGGTATATTGCTGGGTGCGACGTTAAACAACAAACAAATAAACAAACAAACAAAAACTCACAAACCATAGTCCACTGCACATTAATTACTTACGTGCCAAGGTCGTTGTTGCTAAAGTAAGGGCACCTGAAACAGACAGTAGAATGTGTGCTATGATACTTCAGGGCTTCCATTTGAAAGATAAATTGAGGGGCATATGTTTGATTTTCAATTAAAAATATCTTAACTAATTGACAGTATATATAAAAAGTCAAATGTATTGGAGTTTCGTGAGCACTCAAATAACACTTCTACATGGTTCTATTTTTCACAGGATAATTTGATTAAAAGCTTATTAAAACTGAAAACAATTGTGCATAATAAACAATGAAAACATGCGTTTTAGGCACAAATTTATAACATTTCAAACATGGTAGGCTTCATATGGATGCAAATACATTTCTTACTCCAGTCTTTATCAAACCTATTTATATTAACACAAAATTAGCCAGTCACAGATTACTTTTTTAGAAACTGTTGCAGGAACGGGTGACGGTTAAATATCAGATCCGGGTTAGGAAAGGTCTTCAGCAATCCATGCTTTACGCAATAGAGTAGCGGCCAACCCTCAAAAAGAGGCTTATTTAAGGAGTAACCCCTCCCCACAGTAGATCAAAGCACAACCACTTTTTTCTTCACAAGATGACATTTATGCATTAGCAAATTATGGTTGTGGTGATTTCTTTTGGTGGCAGACACGTTTTATGGTGGCAAAATGCATATTTGTATGACAAAATTAAGTAAATCAGATAAATGGCTCTAAACAAGTCAGTTTGCATATTGCAATGCTCATTTTATTTACAAAATCAGTGTGCTGACTCAGGAAACCTAAAATAGAACAAATAAACAAGTAGCAAAATTGGTTTAAGTCGAGTTAGCGGCCAAAATGTGTCAAAAACAGGAAAAAATCCCTCAATCTTCATTTTCAAAGTATTACAAAACTAAAGATAATATAACCTCCATATTGACAATCATGTCGTGTGATATCTCAAAATCTGTCTGAATGTTTTAGGAGCTTATGAAAAATTCCACAATTAATATAGGTATAATATAATGTATGAAAATTTAATAAATGTGATCCCACCCCCTATCCTGTTAAAAATAAACACAAATATATAATAGCATATTTGAAAAATTACAATGACTTCACTAACATTCTTGTACACCAAATTGTTTTATCTGAACACATGAATCGTTAAAGTATCTTACATTTGAGATTGAGAAATTTAATTCATCCAATATGGCGGACAAAACGTACTCCAAGATGGCCGCCAATACAGGAAAATGACAATATTTCGTCTTCACCAAGGAATGTATGAGAAATTTAAATGTCAAAATTTAGGTTTCGACCAGGAACTCCATCTATCGTGTTATTGTCATATTTTATATCCTTTTCGTCTATGTTATGTACTATAATTGCTGATCATATAAACTTACTTTGAAGTGTCAATGTGAAGCACTTTTATATTGTCAGTAACTCATTAACAAATCCATTATTTTTCTCCAATACAGTAAGAAACAATTAGTTTTCAATAATTGGAAAATGAAAATAGAGCAGAATTTACCATATTTTGGCTTAGTTTTACTAATATCTCAATTTGTGAGAAGTTATAATTAAAAACATAATAATACTATGTGTTAACTATCACATAATTGATAAAAATAAGGACTCAATGCATACACTACCTTTTAAGGGGACTTTATTTGATTTTCTCTATTTTAACAAAATAAAGTGCATTTTGACCCAAAAACAGTATCTGCCACCAAAACATTTGACCACATTTATACTTTTTCTAGTCCGCTGGATACAAAAACATAGTGAAAATCTAAGTTTGCTTTGTTCTCCTATGGGGAGGGGTATGTAGGCAGTTTGAGGGTCTGGCCACTACTCTCCAGGAGGCGACTAACGGGTTTGGGTGGTCATGCTCGCTGACTTGGTTGATGCATGTCATCATATCTCAATTGCGTGGATCGATGCTCAATCACTAGATTGTCTGGACTTACTTACAGACCGCCTTAATATAGCTGGAATAGTGGTGAGTGCGGCGTTAAACAACAATTATATGAAAGGTGATAAAATCAAATATAACAACAGTTATTTTTAATTTTCGGTATGCTTTCTTTTACGCAGAGTTTATATTCACAAGGCCAACTGATTATTTTCTGGTGTTAATGTTTTAGTAGAGTATGTTAAGTCACACCGGTCTACACTTTGAAATGACTCCCAAAAAATATATTCACTCTACAAAGGGTTGAAGAAATGCATCTATGAATAAGCGCTCTTCACATAAATTCGTGAATGCAAATTCAGCACATATATACAATAAACTGTCTATCTTCATTCCTAGAGAGAGCTATACACAAGTCAAAGATATTAACAGCGTTTAACGCCTCCGACCCGTATACAATTGAGCTGAAATTAATTCGGTTCTAAGAGAAATTGCATCATCTTTTGAAAATAGAAGAGAAATAAAAGCAAGTACAGGATAATTTGACAGATAGCGTTATGGTATAAACTTGTATCTTAGATAACAATAATATTGACACACAAAATTAAAATGAATTTCATTTTCTATAGCTGAATGACATAATGGACTTCACCTCTACGATTTTTCATTGAACATTTTTCTTCCTTCATTTTTATGAGATCTAACAACCCAAGCCTCAAATGAATAATTGACGTGTAAGGGTTCTTGGCGTTAACATATACTCACCGCCAAAACAAACGCGAAATATGGAGAGCAGTATGTACGACTAACGGGATCGGGTGGTCAGGCTTGCTGACTTGGTTTGTGCATGTCATCGTATCCCAAATGTGTGGATCGATTCTCATGATGTCAATCACTGGATTGTCTGGTCCAGACTCGATTATTTACAGACCTCCGTCAAAAAGCTGGAATATTGCTTAGTGCGGTGAAAAACAAGATACAAACAAACAAATCATGATGAAACATCACAAGAGGTCAGATTACTTACCGACACAGCACACCTCACTAGGTGGACACATACGAGCTGCCAAAACTCCAATGGGGTTACAGCTACTCATCCCAACACATGAGATCCCGGGCAAATTACAGGCTGAAATATAAACTTTCTCAAAGGAACAATATCTGTTTCATGCCTATTTCACTGTAACCGTCTTATCCATATGTTGTTACTCTCGGTTTAAGTAGATTTACTCAAAGGCAAAATGTATTGTCACGTGACCTTGTAACTTACAAATCTTTATATGCATTTATGGATTTGAACTGGAGAATATCTGTTTAGAATAGCCTAATGAAAGACTGCACGTGATGTGACGCCCCTTGCAGGTTCCAGACAGCAACTTTCACAGCCAATATCTTCTTACTCTTGAGCGTGACTTGGAGCAGGTGAGCTCTTGCTAGTTACTGTACCTTCAGAGGTTGTTCTTTTCTTTTGACATAATTACAACCACAGCAAACATAAGCCGGCAGTAAACATAATCTTTGAATGATTCGACCGCCTCCATGGTCTAATGGTAGGGCGTCCGCCCGGAGAGTGGAAGGTCTAGGATTCGATGCCCGGCGGCGTCATATATGAGTTCAGGGGCTTTTGCTCAGAAATAGCAACCGTGATGTTAACAAACTCTTTCAATTTGAGTAGATTTACGGATTTCTGTTTCTTTTTACATTATACAAGTAGAAAACCGGATCGAAGTTTGTTGACATTTGTAACCTCTCCGCAATTACCAGTGATACCTTTGGAGATTGCAAACGAAGATATGCATTAACCAAGTCTGCGAGCCTGACCACCCGATCCCGTTAGTCGCCTTTTACGGCAAGCATGGGTTGCTATTCTACCCCGGATCTTCACGGGCCTACATATTTTCACTGTTTCAGTTTTCATACTTGATGTCATTCATATCATTGACAATGCCATGTATCCCATCACAACGGGAACACCGTGCTGACACCTGAAACTTCAACGTGGATTGGGAATGTTCAATATTGTAAACTAACTATAAACTACAAGCAGAAAGCAGGGTCATTTATATTAGGTGCAGCTGATAAATCTTCACTACATACTTTCTCATCTTTATTTAACGAGAGCCAGTTGTTTGTTGGGTAGCCAATTTGAAAGAGTGGAGATTCAACACCCCTGCTCCCAACCCGAAATGGTGTTGGTTGGTTGGTTGGTTGGTTGGTTGTTTAAGGCCGCACTCAGCAATATTCCAGCTATATGACAGCGGTCTGTAAATAATCGATTCTGGACCAGACAATCCATTGATCGATATCATGAGCATCGATCCACGCAATTGGAATCGATGACATGAATCAACCAAGTCAGCGACCCTGACCACCCGATCCCGTTAGTCGCCTTTTACGACAAGCATAGTCGCCTTTCACGGCAAGCATGGGTTGCTGAAGAGCTATTCTACTCCGGATCTTCAACAGTCATCGCTGTATCATTACCTTGACCATCCACTCGTGTGAGAAATAGTAGAAGAAGACAACCTATTTGTGTAACTGCCATTTCGAGGTCGGGCATTCGTCCGCTCCTTAACAAATACAGGTATTGTCTGCTATGATTCTTGTCGTCTTTAAATTATATATAGTTTTACCTGAGGCATCGTATGATCATAATCATGATTGATGACAAATAAATGCAGTATCTTTCATCTCACTCCGGATTTTATACACGTATCTTTCTACCCAAATGGTTTTGATTAGAATGATGAAAGATCAATAATGCATCTGAATTGGAACATTTTTCCCGCTTATCTAAGATATTGAAAAACTGTACATCCCGCAGGTTATCGTGTCTGATTTGTCCACAAGTAGGATTTGCAATCTCAGAAAACCGAAGCCTTCACTTTGTCAGCTGGTGATATAGAAAGTGCCTTCATCTACCGAAAAGTTATTAAAAGACATTATGACTGTTGTCTTGACTGTGGTTAATAGTGGCCAATTAATCAAGCTGGGTCTGCTTCAAAACGATTGGGTGGTTGGTTTGTTGTTTAACGCCGCACTCAGCAATATTCCAGCTATATGACGGCGGTCTGTAAAATAATCGAGTCTGGACCAGACAATCCAGTGATTAATATCATGAGCATCGATCCACGCAATTGGGATCGATGCTATGCATCAACCAAGTCAGCGAGCCTGACCACCCGATCCCGTTAGTCGCCTTTTACGACAAGCATAGTCACCTTTTACGGCAAGCATGGGTTGCTGAGGACCTATTCTACCCCGGAATCTTCACGGGTCGCTTCAAACGAACTGGTCAGGAGTCAAACGACTTGGAAACCTTTGTCATGACCAGTCATGTTTGTTTGTTGTTTAACGCCGCACCAAGCAGTATTCCAGATATATGACGGCGGCGAGTCTGGACCAGACAATCCAGTGATTGATATCATAAGCATCGATCCAAGCAATTAGGTTGGTTGATTGGTTTGTTGTTTAACGCCGCACTCAGCAATATTCCAGCTATATGACGGCGGTCTGTAAATAATCGAGTCTGGGCCAGAAAATCCAGTGATTGATATCATAAGCATCGACCCATGCAATTGGGATACGATGACATGCATCAACCAAGTCAGCGACCACCCGATCCCGTTAGTCGCATCTTACGACAAGCCAAGTCGGCTTTTACCACCAAGCATGGGTTGCTGAAGACCTATACTACCCCGGATCTTCACGGGTAGCACAGCTTGTGCAGCATCTCCTAAGGCCATATTATGCCGAATGCTCTACGATATCACAAAGCACGGCTCACTTGATTGCCTCAACTAATGTATTGGCAGTAAAAGTGAGGAAAAAAACATAAGATAGAGGATTTGAACCCCTGGCGAGGTTTGTGAGACGGCTGTTATCTCACTTAATTAAAAAGAACATGTTTGAATGCTCATTTCCCAACGATTTCAAGATAGACCACTTGTCATTGATATGGACCAATACATTTGATGATTCATTTACACCCGGATCTTCACGAGTGTCTTGGTGATGTATTTCTGTATGTATTGTTTCGTCATTAAGTTGACGACTTTCTTCATGTTCTTCTCCTACCTGTCTTTCTTCATTTATCTGCATATTTACTTTAATTTAATTTGATTCGTACAAAGAGCGTCATACAGCTCTTGCTAAGTGAGTGAGTGAGTATGGTTTTACGCCGCTTTTAGCAATATTCCAGCAATATCACGGCGGGGGACACCAGAGATGGGCTTCACACATTGTACCCACGTCGGGAATCGAACCCGGGTCTTCGGCGTGACGAGCTAACGCTTTAACCACTAGGCTACCCGACCGCCCCGGCTCTTGCTAAGACGTTGTTTGATCAAGGTTACAACATTCAAGGCCTCGGTAAAGCTTTCAAAAGTTTTACGGTCGACATGTGGAGAACATTGTAAATTTGACGCATCAGTGACAGAAATTATGTCCGATGTAATGTGAGTGAGTGAGTTAAGGTTTTACGTCACATCGGCAGTATCTCAGCCATAAAGTGACGAGTTGTCCGATGTAATGTCAACAAGTTTTATTATGGTAAACAAGTGGAGGACATTTCCAAATTTGACGAATGTAGTTCCTTATTTTGACTTATGTTCCCATGTTTTTCTGGTGAACAATTGACTTGCCTTTGCATGTGTTTGTGATGGGTGCCACCGGTGGGGCAGGATACGCGCACCTTTTCAAACACCTGGTATCATCACTAGTTGATGGTGATTCACAAACACATACTCATGATATAGTCGGAATCGTACCATTTGGGTGATATTTCATATGGAAAGGGCATTGTCGCTTTTTTGTCCATTTGAGTCTCATTACGTCTGTGGCCATCTATGCTCTCAGTGTTACGTTGAAATCCTTCATTTATTTTCTACCGTTGACCAGCCCTTTCTTTCAGTGTTCCTACATTCCTTGACTTCCACCGAGTCAGTTTCCCGTTTATCGTTTCTTTAACTTTGTTTCTTTTACCGCAACTGGTCTGTCTTTTCGTTTCCTTTCAGCTTCCTTCCCTTTCTGTGTTTAATTTCTGTCTTTGTTTTTTATTATTGTTTTGGTCAAATTGTTTGCTTGATACTTTTTTCTGTTGTTCTTTCGGTTCGATCCCTGGTCGCGACATACCAAAAGACTTTAAAAGATGGTAGTTGTTGTTACGGCATTGAGGGGCAAACAAGGACTGATCGGCTCTGAGTCAGTGTGCTGTGTGAGTGAGTGAGTGAGTGAGTGAGTGAGAATGGTTTTACGCCGCTTTTAGCAATATTCCAGCAATATCACGGCGGGGGACACCAGAATTGGGCTTCACACATTGTACCCATGTCGGGGATCGAACCCGGGTCTTCGGGGTGACGAGTGAACGCTTTAAACACTAGGCTACCCGACCGCCACCCAGTGTGCTGTGTCTGAAAAGTGGTGGGGTATTCATTTTTTAACTGCGGCATGGTATCTTAGTGGGCTAGCACTATAAATCGGCATCTGTCCGGACTAGTTGAAGCAGAAGATGCATCTGACAATTTCATGAATCATGGCGGCATGCTCGTGTGCAATAGGATCTTAAAATATGTTTTCAAATGTTGCAGACTGTCTCCATGGCCTAGTGGATAGAGCGTCTGCAAGGCTAGTGGAAGGTCGGTGGTTGGATCCCTGGATTGCGTCACACCAAAAGACGCTAAAAGATGATACTTGTTGTTAAGCTGCCATGGCGCTCAAAATATACGGGATAAAAGAAGGACTGGTCGATTCAGAGTCGATGGACTGTGTCTGAGTGGGGTATCCACGATAAACTGCGACATGGTATTTCAGAGGAATTAGCACACACACACGCGCGCGCGCGTTTTGTTTGTTGTTTAACGCCGCACTCAGCAATATTCCAGCTATATGACGGCTGTAAATAATCGAGTCTGGACCAGACAATCCAGGAATTGACATCATGAGCATCGATCCACGCAATTGGGATACAATGACATGCATCAACCAAGTCAGCGAGCCTGACCACCCGATCCCGTTAGTCGCCTCTTACGACATGCATCGTTGCCTTCTACGGCAAGCCTGTGTAGCTGAAGACCTTTTCTACCCCGGATCTCGTTTGTTCGAGTGTTATGTGTAATATTTGCGATTGTGGTGACTGAGATCGAACTTAAGTCCTGAGTTAAGAACTCAGCTGAGCTTTTGCTGAGTTTGATTCGAGAAATGCAGTTGGGTTAAAAACTCAGCTGAGTTTGTTGGGGGGGGGGGGTTAGTAAAAACTTGAGTTTGTTTCGAGAAATCGGGGCCTGAATGTATTTGTAGCAATTGTCATTGACAGCAAATGATTTAACTACCACTAAAATATATCAGGCGCTGTCGTGGCCATATTTGACCAGATGTAGGCGGCAGCGAGTGGGGTTTAGAGTTAGAATGAGTTACAATTTTACATTTTTGCAACCTTATAGCTGATACAATAATAATGAATACATAGAGAATATGTAAAACCTGTCGACAACAGACGCTGAGGCCTTGGATGTTGTAACCTTGATCAAACATCTTTTAGCAAGAGTCTTATGACGTCCTTTGAAATCTTCGTAGAAAGAGCATGTGCATCAACCAAGTCAGCGAGCCTGACCACCCGATCCTGTTAGTCGCTTTTACGACAAGCATGAGTTTCTGAAGACCTATCAAGGAAGGATCTTCACGGGTATGAGTATGGTATTGATGTCGCACCCTCCCATGGCACCAGAAACTTTCAGAGGAGACAAAACATGTAACATGGTGTATTGGTACAAACTGCTGCGGCGTTGTTTGCTTCTTTTTTTTCTTTTCTTTTTTTTTTTTTTTTTGGGGGGGGGGGGGGGGGGGGGGGTTGTCCGGCGACCGAGCTGTTCAGCAAAGTAGAAAGAAAACAATTCTCAATTGAGAGGGTTTTTTTTATTATTATCGCGGAGTCTGAAAACTCATTTGCAATAAAATAATTTTTTTCATGCAGGCCTCATACGACCCCAATTCAGCGAGCCTGTCCACTCGGTCCCGTTAGTAATTTTTGTTTTTAAATATATATAAATAACGAACTGTATTTCTTCGGCTACTTTGATATAGTCGCTCTTTTGTACTGGGTGTTCAGGTCAGTTTTATAATGCCTATGTGAATAAAAATTCCTTGATATTTCAGTAGACAACGTTTGCAAGAAAAGGACACATCATCTTTGTAAAACAAATACGTAAAATAGATCATTATTTTTTTTTTAAACATTGCGGATGAGGGAACGTCAACTGCAGCCAGTACACAGTGATCGAAGTAGGAGGAACATAATTATTTTTTTAAATCTAAAAGTAACAATATATGATCATAGATCTACATGTATTATTGTCACTTTGTTGGTGCAAATTTATTTTTTTTAAAACACGTAAAAAGATGGTCAGCCGCCAGAGTCCTGCACTCTGTGCCGGAACCCGGGATTGAACCGGGGGCCTTTAGATCTTCAGTCTAACGCTCTCCCAACTGAGCTATTCCGGCCGACAAGCGTTGAAGGGAGTATTTAGCAAGTCATGAAAGCAACACTTACTAAATATACTCGCATTTGATATGTTATGTATCTATTTACACCTAATCATATTTGCATCGATAAATATGCCAATAATTGTGTTAACACAGGAAATTTAAATACAAAAAGGTTCACAGAGCGACTCTCACAGCGAGGTC